AAAATTCCCTTGTATACAGAGAAAAGGAATCGATTCGTGTGATTGTGATTGGTTTCATATTTAACCATCAATTTTTCTTCTATATAATCTTGTTTTCTTTTCCCCTCTTTCTAAAAGGTCGCTAGGGTTTAAGTTTTTCTTTGTGTGTGTATAATGAAAAACGGAGAAGGAGGAGAAAATGAGGAAGTGGTTTCTCTTGAAATGCTGAGGAAGAAAATGGATGATTTTGCAAAGGCTAGAGATTGGGAGAAGTATCATAGCCCAAGGAATCTCCTCCTTGCGATGGTATCTTTTTCCTCCCCATCTACTTTGATTTATCTGTAAATCTCAAATTATTCTCGAACTATGTCTTTAAGGAAAAAAGGTAGAAATCATGAAAAGGGTTTTCATGTCTGTTATTCGAAAGGGTTTTCTAACAAAGATCAGGAGAATAACAGAACAAAAATCAAATTCTCCTGATCTTTTGTTCCAATTTGATTTTTGTTTCCATGGAATTTTGATCTATTTGTATGTTTTTCCATTCCTGAGTAAAAACCGCTTGTCCGATTCTCTGTATGTAATTAAAACAGTCACTTTTTTCTGTGGAAACGCCAAAAGAAAAAATGGTTTGTAAGTTGATTTCATCGGAATATAGTGGCTTTGTACCAACTTGGACTTGATTGTGAGTGGAAGACTCATAAATTTGAAGACAAATCAGTTTCCAATTAACATAAACAACCAGAATAACATTGTGAGTAGAGTTCAATTTTGATTTATGCACATGTACCTCTCTTTGCTCGAGAATCTAGTCAACAAAGTTTTAAAAAGGTCAAAACTTTTTGTCCAGTAAACAAGTCAACACTAGTTATATGTTTCTTGTGCCTTCAGAAATGATTTCATAAGTGATTTGAAACTGCAGGTGGGTGAAGTGGGAGAGCTATCAGAGATATTCCAATGGAAAGGGGAAGTGGCAAAAGGACTTCCTGATTGGAAAGAAGAAGAGAAAATGCACCTTGGAGAAGAGCTTTCAGATGTGTTGCTGTATTTGGTGAGGCTTTCAGATTCGTGTGGGGTCGATTTAGGCAAGGCGGCTTTGCGCAAGATTGAGCTCAATGCCATTAAGTACCCAGCCATCAAACACAATGATCATTGCGTTGGTGATGCTGAACATTCAAGTGGCAAAACTAAGTTGAATGAAGAAAATTAATC